CCACATTGCTTCGGCTTGACCCTCTGCTACGTCAGGCTGCAAGCAGTTTGGTGGCGGATGAAGCCGACTTCGGCTTCACCGAGCTGTCCGATGGGCCAGCGGGCAATTCGGCTCAGCAGGACCTACAGCAGCGTATATCATCCTGATTGAAATTGAAACATTCACTGATTCAGAGAGAGCAGGCAAAGGTAATTGAGTGCGGGTAGTTTGAGGAGCAGGTGTTTTTGGTACTGTTGAATGAATTGCAACAATGTCGAAGAAGAAACTGAATCTCAGGCTTTCCATCGTCGTATTCCACCATTTCCCTGCAGCGAACCGATCGATAGGTGACGTTCTTTGTTCTGCCTTCACCGAAACTATTGATCAAATCCGAGCAGACTCATAAAACCTTCCACTGAAACGCGCTGATAAGGATTTTTTGCTTGAATTCTTCGCTTGTTGTATCTGCTCCACTATGAGCATGGTTTTTTTGGGCTCCCTCGAAAGCTTTCACATTTACATATCAGCTTTCGACTTTTTCTCGTTTTTGACTTGAATGCAACTTTCAGCTTTTACACTAAATTTCAGCTTTTTTATATAAACATGGTTTTCTACCAAAGCTGTTCACCTGCCCTCCCGGCTTCATCGGGAATCAATTTCCCGGGGCACTGGAAATCACGGATCCCAGGGCGTCATTGAACATGGGTTCCCCGACTAAGTATAAACGCACTGCCGCTAAGTATAAACGCAATATCGCTAAGTATAAACACTTCCGCTAAGTATAAACGCAATGTCGCTAAGTATAAACGCAATATCGCTAAGTATAAACGCACTACCGCTAAGTGTAAACGCAATGTCGCCAAGTGTAAAACGCAAGATCGCTAAGTATAAACGCAATACCGCTAAGTATAAACACAATATCGCTAAGTATAAACGCAGTATCGCTAAGTATAAACACTTTCGCTAAGTATGAACGCAATGTCGCTAAGTATAAACGCAATATCGCCAAATGCAAAACTTGATGTATGGAGCGAACATTAATGGGATCAAAAAACAGTTCAATTCAGAAGTGATGATGATGAAAGATTGTGTACCGTGCCATAAAATAGAACATGTCGTTATAAGTGTTTTTAGATTGAGACAATGAACTGCACACGATGCGCTCAAAACACGAACCAACACCTATGCGTCATATATTGAGATATTCAAGAAATTCTAAGTAAGACAAAGGAAACCATGAAAATAAGAGTGATGAGGCCATGAAGTGAGGATACGCGAATTTCTGTCAAGGGCATTTGATGTGGACCCCTGTTTGAACTACTCATTCCAAGTGGAATCATAAATGGGAGTGCAAAGAAACAATCAGCGCGTAAGAACTCACATTCGGATATACAGGCAATTGAACCTCATCGAATAGAAGAAGTCGTGACATTCAAAGACATTATTCCCCTTCATCAGTTAGAATGACATGAAATTGAAATCAATCTTTGTACTCATAAATTATTATTTCTTCGAGAATCGATCAAATGAGAAGAATGAGATGTCGATAGAGACTTGTTTGCCTGCCGCCATTTCAGCGAGTACCATGCCGATGCAAGGCGCAACCTTAAACCACAACAGAACATCAACCGTGTAATCGAAGTATGATCAGAACTTGAAAAACGTTGCGCTCAGCTAAGTGTTCGCATACCTTGAAACCACTTCCCGAACCACATCCACCAACCAGAACATTTTTAGAGCCAGGGTACGGACCAATAACGTAATGGGAGTCTTCAGATACCTGAATATACCGCTGTACTCGTTGGTTACTAAAAACAAGATAATTGTTATGTGTTATCTCGATTGTTATTTAAATGTTCATCTGGACGGTGGGACAGAGCGCCTACCGGGAAATCGAAAAGGTTCGCGCCTGTTAGCACGAGGACTAGCTAGTTCCAGAATTTCCCCTCTGTCTCAATCCCATCGTGTTGAGATTCACCGGCGTGGGTGAGTGCTCACTCGCAGGAATAATATGCTATCGCTTTTGGATACGAATGATTCCGTGGTCAGTGGAGTGTTAAATTTTTATGTAACTACTATTTTTGTTGCTGTTACCATTACTATTTGACTTTATTTTAAAACAATCGGCCGAATCGCAAAACGTTTAGTGAGCTATAGTGGTAAGTACAGCTTGAAAACTGCTAAGATTTCTCAAGTTGCAGATTAAATATTTCTATAAGAGACTTGAGGTGTCAGTACGTTTTTGATATTATATCGAGAGCTTTGATTAATTCCTTTTTCAATGAATTCGTTTTATGTGATGTCTCGTTAACACCTATTATCTCGCCGCTGCACGCGAACGTAAAGTCTCAAGGGTTTGCGAGTTCTGGGCGAAGTTGGGCCTCGAACGGGATTGAACCCGCACTTGTGCTAAATTTGCTTTGATAACCTAATTCCACACTCAAGTCAATTTTTCACTCACAATTCAGCTGTTGCGCCTACCACCTCCCCAAATTCCAGAGCGAAAGCTACTTGATAAGTTGTGTGGTTTGGGTATCAAGCAAAATTAGTTACACATCGGGATTGTGTCCCTCGAATGTCTGAGACATAAGCTGACATGAGCTGTCTGAGACATGATTTCATTGAATCTTACGAAATGGAGCCCTCAACTTGCAATTGATACCGACTTCCAAGGATTCGCGAGTCATGGATAATATACAGTAGCGCATAAAAGTCTTCGGTGAAATGGTTCTTCGTCCGTACTTTTTAGTCGTAACTCCTTTTCTCCTGGATCTAATCTTGCGAAATATCCATATTTGGAGCTTGGGTGTATTGTGAACATTTTCCTCTATTAACTTGCAATCTGATCATGTAACCAGATATTCCAAAGGGCATGAACTCAAAATCGACTGGAAATACGGATGATGGTCCTTCTAAAATCTCTTTCTTCTTTGTCTTGTCTGAAGTGTACAAGCGGTAATGCCGAACACAATAGATGAGAAAAACGCACATAAGGTGCGAATTAGTGCAGACGTCAACAACTTTAGTTTTAGCAAAATTTGCTACCACAACAAACACCTTGCTCTATCTGTGGATATTGCAGCTTCGCAGTCATATAGTGTTGGGTAGGGTGAAATATGCTCTAGTTGAACATATCCAAATTTTTCGCGATTTGGTCTACTAAGAAAACAGTTATGAAGGAAAAAGCGTCAAAACATTTCACCGAAGACTTTTGAGCGCTACTGTAGCTGTGCATACGCCCTAGTGTCTTGAAACACAATCACAACAATGGGTGCTGAAGAGGAAAACAGGCAATGCCAACGATCTCTAATTCGATATTCGATTTGCCCATCCATCTCTCCACAGACATTCCCGCCCATCTAGGGGCGGGACATACTCAGGAGGTGTGGTCAACTACGTCTGACTCCGACATGAAGATGACCATCTTCACCAGGTAACGTTCTCCATAATGTTTTACATTTATGACTCCTATCATCCTGCAGATCGAAACATTTTTGTTCCTTCACTTACTGTGTACTTGCATCTGTCGACATGTGTCGGTTGTTCAGCTTCCAAAATTGGAACGTGCTCTTTAATGAAGGCCCGTGGCCCATCAACGAACTCCTGAAAAATCGATATAATTCGTCCGAGTTAAGCAATAAAACGGGCACGAAAAAACAATGAAAAGTGGATTGCGCTAACAAAAATTAGCACTTTAACATGGACTGAAGATCGCGACAGGAATCAGTGAATATCATTTTTTCATACACACAACAGGTGTACTGCATTGTAAATCGATATGTTACTAGTAAATATAAGTTGATATGGAAATGATTAACTGTGCTTCACACTTGAGGATGTTTATCAAAATCCGAGGCATTTCTGACCCATAAACATAAACAATAAAGATTTTATTCATTCACCTCTGATGATTTTACTTACCACTACTTGCGGTGCTGTTAAAAAAAATGTAGAAAAAGCCCCGATTACAGAGCAAGAGAGAGAGGACTTCTGGTTCTTTTTGAACTAACAATACTTTTATGTTAATAGGAAGATAGCGCACTGCATTCACAAACCTGTGATATCTCTTCAGGGTGTTTATCACCGTCGAAAGGTTGTCCATTATGTGAGCATATCTAGAATGAGTTATATTTACTAGTATAAATTCAGCATTCCCACCCTATCCGCCAAAATGGTGAAGCATTGTCATACAAGGAAGCTCCACACTATGCGCTGCTTTGCTGTTTGGCAAGGACTGGGCTTCACCAGTGTACAAGAGCATTCCTAGGTGAGGAACTAGCTCTCCAAATCAGAAAGAATTCTTCGCCCTCCTCAAAAATGTTTTAGAACTAAGTGAGCAGTTATATGCCGAAAATACCCAGGTAGCACTCAAGTAACTTCATTAACTTTAGAGGATCTATTTAATGGGGACCACGTTATTACGTCCTGGTGAGGCTGACCAAGCCACTCTGTCTACAGTATTTCAGCCTCCTTCAGAAGAACATATGGTGTTACTTACTTTCACAGACCCTGGATGGTCGATCGATGGTAGCCCATAGACATGAAATTGTCCACTCATGTCGTCAACAGCAATAAACACAGGAAAGTTTTCACTTTCTAGCAAGTGAGAGTCTTCGGCACGGGCGCTCTTCCAGTAGCAAACAGCAATTGACTGTGGCTGAATTTTATCCAATTACATTTTGGTATCAAAGAGTGTCGCTCAGTTTAGTCGACTGAGCCTAGCCTTCAATGTAAGATGGAGTTTACTTCCCTCCTAAACACATGAGATTTGCCTTCGGTAAAGAGAGTGGGACAATCTGTTTTAAAAAGCAATTTTTTCGGAAGTTTCTAAATCCGTCAAACGCTCACGACGTGCTCAAAGGTTACGATTTCAGAAATCGCTTTTTTTTATTGTGACCAGTATCAGAATGTCCACCGTTGGGTCGAAATACAATCGAGATAGGGCGTAAAAGGGGCACTAAAAACCGGCTTCGCCGACGTACAGGGTAACGGAACTTCTCCCCTATCGCGGCATTCTCCCATGCGGCATGCGGCAAATGTCACTGCAATTACCGTACTCATCCCGCCTCCCGAAAATCGATAGGACGCGATATTTTTCCTTGACTGGCTTGCTTTTTCATTGGATTTTATCGTTTTTTCTTCTGTTTCTTTTTAGTTTTCATGTTTATTGGACTTCATTAATTAAAATGACTCCTCCTATGCAAGCGGCGGTCAAGACTGCATTGAAATTGAAGAAAGCGGTCAGCCAATTCAAGTAATTAAAGGACTCCCTACCTCACAAATTGCGCGCTCCAATCTTTCCTCGCAATCCTGCGATAGGCGGCGGGTGCGGCGTGTGCGACGCCGTGTTAGGGGAAAAGTTCCCGGACCCCCGACGTACACACTAAGGCGGACGAGTCATCGAGGCGATGTAGAGGCTGTGGAGGCTGCAGCATTAGCACAGGGACTCACACGCCGCATTCAGGCAAAGTACTGAAGCCAGCTGTGCGCAATGG